ACCCTTTTATACATGTACCCAATTATAACCCTATTCCGGTGTCACTGTACCCTAATTGATCCCAGTGTTTTGTAGTCCATCATCATGTTTTGTTGGGTTGCTGTGCTGGATGCACATCGGATTAATAAAGAGCACTGCGTTTTCAGAGCCTGAGTCATTGTCTTGGTGCATTGGTGTTCCAGATGACATTCGGGGCAAACATCTGGACCTAGGTGGAGATGGCAGGCCAACTTGTCAGCAGTTCTGGAGAAGAAGACCTGCCAGGCGCTGCTGGATGTCCCTGGTGACCAGCAGTACAGTTACGCGGCGTTGGCTTCAGCCCTCTGGAGGTGGTTCGGCGGAAGAGGGGAGGCGCCAGGACTGCTGCAGGCAAAGCTGCCCCAATACTGGGAGAGTCACTGTGGTCAGTTATGCTGTTTGCACCATTCTCCTTGGAGCAGGCCTTGGCTCTGCCTGAGCAGGCCGATGCTGTGTACCAGGAGACCAGGAAATCACTGTAAGGGGACTCCTTTAGTTCGGGGGATCTTGTCTGGGTCTACAACCCACGGATCTGCAAGGGCCTCAGCCTGAAGCTGGCGCCAGCGTGGGAGGGACCCAGGGAGGTCCTGGAGGTCGTGGGGGAAGTCTGCTACCGTGTCCAGTTCGGGAAGCAAGGGAGGGTGGTGGTCCTGTACCAAGTGCCAGTTGTAACCTGTTGTCTCTCTCTATCTGTTGGGTTGCTGTGCCGGATGCATGTCTGATTAATAAAGAGCACCATGTTCTCAGTTAACAAGAGCCTAAGTCCCTGTTTCTATCCTTGCCAAACTCGTCTTGCTACATTATGTTAAAACTGTACAAAGCATTAGTAAGGCCTCTTTAGAAAATTCGGCACAATTTTGGTCACCATGTTATATGAAAAGATATTGTTGTTCTGAAATCTGCCCAGAGAAGAGCAATCAGATACAGTATATACCATAGGTTAAGGTAATATCCTAGACCGACATGCTGAAGGAACTGAACCTTTTTTAGTCTTGAAAAGAGGAGACTATGAGGAAACCACATACAAGTAATCAAAGTCCTCAAAGACAGTGACAAAAAACTTTTTTCAGAAGAACAAGTAACATTATGTCGAATTGTATTTAAAACCAGGAAAACGAGGTACAGTATATCTTTACCCAAAGCATTGTTGGAGTATGGAACAAGTACGCAACCATGTTATTCAGGCTGATATCCTGGCTTCTCTCAAGAAAGATTTGGATAAGATCTTTGGATTAATTAACTACTGATTACCAATCACGCTAGATGGGCTGAATGACCTCCTCTCATTTACAACCTTTATTGTGTTCATCTACAGTAGTATCATTTTATTAATGGACTTACATCAGGGGTCTGGAAAATGCAGTACATTATTTTCAGAGCCTAGTGTTTTCTGAGATGAGAGTAATCACAGAGAGGTGAGTTTCTGCTTGGCCTTATCATGTTGTAAAAAAAACTAGCTTATTCACATTACCGATGTATGTGACACTATTGTTTATTCACAAATGTACCATTTGTTTTTCCTGCATTATATTTCATGCATTGGTAGATCAATTCCGAAACAATGTGGTAACTCACTTCCTCTATCATTTTCAAGACTCCTAGCATGTTAAAAAGTCTCAAAATTCTCGCACATCACCGCCTGCGTGCTACCGAACAAAGAACATATCTACTCTGTTAGATGCCTCATAAAGGCCAGGTCTATTCTCAAGGACCCCAGTCACC